TAAATATCGTTGTAATGCATGTGGATGTAATAGTGGCGTTTTTTGTTGATTATTAAATTGTGCCATATAAAATAAATAAAGATAATTTGGATCAATTATTGTCGGAGGAGTTGCAACAGGTTTTTCTGGTACACGTTCAATTAATGATTCAATATTTCGTAAATCATTTTTTACAACTGGACGTGTATTATTTGTTAAACAAACTCGTTTATTTGTTTCTTCATGTGTGGCGGATGGTGAACGAGATCTTTTCATTGATCGATGTTCATATGGATATGTTGGTGATATAAGAGGCATTGAACGATGATGATGCTGATGATGATTTGTTGGTGGTGAACATGTACTAATTGATGTTGGCGATGATAAATTCGGTGTACGTTTTACATTTATAGAATCATTCTCATATTGATTATTTGATTCAATATCAATATAATCATCATTTTTTTCGGAAGAATTTTCAATTGAATGATGATAATTATGTATATGAGGAATTGGTGGTTTGTCAAATAAGATTCCCGATGATGATGATGATGTTGTATTCGAAGAGAGATCAAAATTGAGTCGTCTAAATTTAATGTTTGACAACATTCAAGTATAATTATATATATATAGTCAAGTAACTTTAAGATAAAACATTAAGATAATATATATACACTCATTTTATGTTGTTATTTATTATATATGTACATGGTTTGGGGAAAAAAAGAAATTTTTTTATTTAACTGAATTAAATGAGTTGTAAACATAAACTGTCTATTCGAATAAAAATTTTTTCGTTTTGTGTTCATTAAAGCCATCTGGTTTTATTATTTCGAATACAAAAAAAAATATGAAAGAAGGTGTATGTCTCTTATTTCTTTCTCTCTATCCATTTGCATCCATTATCACACATTGAAAATAAGTGATCACAGTCAGGTTTTTGTCACTAGACAAATGTATTTATATAAATGGACGACGGATCGATCAGAGAGTTAAACAGAGAGTGAGATCGCAAATTGAACGTGACACATCAGACATTCGCACGCACACGTTCAAATCACAACAAAATACACATATATACATTTCTCTTTCGTTTCTTATATATCAAATGATGATAAACGACAAATGAAGGAAGCTTCTTTATTTATCCAGATATATATGTGTATCTATGATAGAGTAATTTAAGTGAGATGAATAAATGCCTCGAGAAAAGAAAAAGTGATAGATCATCAAAAGAAGAATGATGAGCTCCACTTGAATATTTCGTTTTGTTTTTTTGTTTAAAAGATAATATAAATGAATAGAGAGAATAAGAGACACTATCGATATACATTCGGTTCTTTTTTTTTTATATTCATCTCTATCTATTTGCATATATACATTATTACATAAGTACACCTGTGATGTATCGCTTTTTACACGGATACTAATCGAAGTTGATCTACCTTAACCATTTTTTTCTTCTACGTATGTACGTTATTTAATGAAGAAGGAAAAAAAAGACGAAATATATATATACATACCTTTTATCACGCTTGCTTGCCGCTCCATTGTCTCGAAAACCTTTTGCAAACGGATTATTGTCTATTTTCAATTGGGTAATCTATCAAGCATATCATTACATTAAATATAAAAAAAACGAAAAGAGAGGGAGTATTTTTTCATTACTTTTTCATTCTGATAAGCGGTAACAGCAATAAATTGTGTTTCTTTAAATATAAATGTTTTTATTGGTGACCAAGGTATTTTAATTAAATCATTCGTCTTTACAATATGTAATCTAGGTTGATATCTATGCATTGAATTGAGTATTGTCTAAATAAAATAAATAAATGAATCATTTTCTTTTTTTTTGTCTTATTCTTTATTGTCTGCCACTATCGTCATAAAATGAAAAACTTGACTTGCACCTGGATGGGTGTTGTTAATAGAGTGTTATTAGTTGGTAAAATAAGAGAAGGAAGAAGAAGAGGAGAAAGAAATCTCTTTTATCAACACATTTTATGACAAGCAAACAAATCAATTTCTCAAATTGCTGTTAGATGAAGTTCTTTTTCTTTTCATTGGAAGAGAAGTACTTTCGCGTTTTTTTTTCTTTTCATTCTCTATGGCTCATTAGATTCGTAAAGAGAATCTTTAAGGTGAAATATAGTAACGATCGATTGTCAAGATAGACAAACATACGGCGACGATATCAAATAAACTGATCGAAACAAAACATTAACTTGTTTATTACTTTAGAGTAAATGATAATGGACGGAGAAAATGAAAATAAAAAATGATGATTAATGCACATATTATCTTTTTATGTCTGTACTTACATAAGAATTTTTATCGGAAATATTATTCGTTAATTTAAGTTTATGAAATGAAACGGATTTTGACATCCATTGTTCACCTAAATTTAATTAAATGAAATAAATAGATATATTTATATAAATAATAACCTGTTGCTGGTGAATCAGGATGAACATAAAGACGTTTTGACATTTCTGGATCAGCATTACCAGCAACCATCCATTTTGAATTATGAAATTTGTATCGATGTGAATCAGCTGCTTGTATATCCATTAAAAAGACGTATTTAGCTTGAGGATTTAAACCAGTTACTTTCACTTTAAAAGCTGGAAATATTCGTCTAAATGAAAGAGAAAGTTTTTTTTTTGAAATTTCTAAATCTTTATTCAATATTTTACCGTCCACTTTTTGTAATAACCTTAAAATAAAAAGAGAATTTTAAATAAAATAACAAATTATTTTTTATTTTACCATTTCTGTTCCATGGCTATGAAAAGCATCCCATAATTGTTTATTTTCTAATTCAACTTTAAGATCAGGATCATCATCATTATCACCATTATCATCGTCTTTATGTTGTTGTTGTGGATGATTATTATCAATTGGATATGATGATTGATTAAGAAATGGATTAACCAATGATCGTGCTGTTGTTGTTGAAAATATTGAATTAATATTAGCACCAAGTGGTGCTGACATATTAACAAGAGGTCGAAAACCCATACGCATGTGTATGTCTGTATGTGTGTGTATATATGTATGTATAATCTGTCGATATACTCGCTTTGTCAAGTGTGCAAGAGCTTCACGCTTCACCTCGGTTGTTTGTCGCGCTTTTTTTCTCTT